TCTGAGACAGGAGATAACTGGAGGGGGGTGAGAAGCAGCGTCTTCACCTCTTCTCAAACAGTCTTTCATTTGTCTGCTGCCCATGCCACCCTCTTCCTCCCCAGATCCTCCCTTTTCATGGGAGAACGGTAAGTCATGCGTCCACTGGAGCAGCCAAGCACTGCTGTGTCCCCTGAAGAAGGTGGTCCCCTGTTGCTGCAGTCCTGCAGCTCTTTGCCAAGGAGCTATGAATCCTGCACCTGCCCCCTCACCTTCGAGGCTCTTGGGCTCATGGTCCAGTGTGCGAGTTTTGCAGCGAAGGTGCTCCCCAGTCCCATCTATCCAGATGTACATGGCCTGGACCTTCTCGCCTTGCGGCAGCTTCATGTACATGTGCTTGATAGCTTTGCTCAGGTGGGAGCTTGCTGAGGTGGCCATGGTTGCAGAGCGGAGGAGAGGATACCTGCAGAGAGGGCACAAGACGCAACCCCAACCGTGAGCGCCAAGGTTTTCACCCCCGGTTCACTGGGGAGCACGAGGGAGCTCAGCCACAGAGCTGGCTGCATCCTCCACCAGACCAGGCTGCAGACATCCCATCTACACACAGAAAACACAACAGGTCACACTGAGACACCAACTGCGCTTCAGGGACAGCTAGGAAAGCCCTGCTCCTGCAGCAGTCTTCAAAGCCTCTCGTTTAATAGCCAGACTCCAACCCATGTCCTGCCTTGGCAAGGGAACAAACTGGGTCTTATCCACCAAGCAGCAGACTTCAAAACTGCTTCTCAGCCTAGCGTGAACTTTTCACCTCCTAAACACCCCCATGCCCACTGTTCCTCTGGAGCACGACTAATATCCAGGAAAGATTAGCTAGGGCTTTCTTAATATGCTTGCTTCAGCAGGGGGCTTGCCAGCCCGAGCTGCCTTTGCAGGTCAGGTGGTCTGAGGTTATACAAGACTGATCCGGAGCAGGAGCGAGTGCACGCGACCCCCGGTGGGAACCGCTCCAGCACGGACAGGGCGGGAGGAGGCTGAAGGAGTTGCAGCCCCAGGTGGCCAGAGCCGCAGCATCCCAGCAGGCCCACCGCAGCCTGGAGCTGGGCTCCCAGGGACAGCCCAGCCTTTCCCATAGGCCAGGCAGGTCAGGACTGGGCCAGCTGGGGTCTGCCTGTGTTTGCAGGGGCACGCAAACGCAAGCCATACGGGCAATGCAAAGCGATATGGAAATTCAGTGCTCCAACATCCTGTCACCTCCCCTGGGCTGGCAGGTCCGGCTGCCCCAGAGCATCCCTCCCTCCTCCGGCAAGGGGGCGCTGCCCCCCGCGGGGCAACCGCGACCCCCTCGTCGCAGAGCCTTTCTCCTTACAGAGGAGGAGGAGCCCTTTAAGCAAATGGCCAACGAGCCTCGTAAAAAAAAAGCAACACTGGCTCGCAGAAAAAATGAGAGCTGCCTCTTGTCCTCCTCCCTCCGTACAGCTGAGGGAAAGTTTTCCCCGGGAAGGTCTGTCTGCGAGCTGGAAAACACCCGAAACGCAGCAACGGCGGAAGCTGGAAAACATCGCTGCTGGGGTGTCTCTCCAAAGAGACAGCAGATACCCGGGGGGAGGAGGAAAGGAGGAAGGCAGAGACACAGAGAGAGCGCTGCAGAGCCCCCGCTCCCGAAACCCCTCTGCCAGGGCGGCGCGGGTGCCTACCGACCCCGACCCGGGCCCCTTCTACCCCACCAGCC